GGTTGTGGAGTAGCAAAGACAGCCAAAAACTTTCAAGTTGTGCAGAGAGGGTGGTTTGTCAAACAACATTTCATAGGTGTGAAGCAAGGGTGTAGGCAAACGGTTAATGAGATGAACAGCGTGCAATACACAGTCACTCCAAAATTTCAAAGGGACACCAGACTGGAAGCGAAGAGCTCGTGCTACATTTAGTATATGTTGGTGTTTGCGTTTAACACGCCCATTCTGTTCAGGTGTTTCAACGCACGAGGTCTGGTGTTCTATGCCATTCATTCTGTAAAACTCAGCCATGTGGAACTCTAGCCCTTGGTCACTACGAATCACTTTCACAGATTTGTCAAACTGTTTAGCAACTAAAGAACAGAAGCCTTGTAACAATCCACGAGCTTCAGATTTATGTTGCATAAGGTAAATCCATACATATCTAGTGTAATCATCGACAATGGTTAAAAAGTAAGCATAAACATCATAGGACTTAGTGGATAAGGGGCCCCAAATATCAACATGAACCAAAGCAAAAGCCATGTTGGCAGAGTGAGGGGTTACAGGAAATGGCAACTTTTTCTGTTTAGACAGGTGACAAACTTCACAGTGATGAACAAATTCACTGGTTACATTGGAATTTTGAGTCTGAAGTAAATGGAAACGATCTTTACTAAGGTGGCCTAAGCGCCAATGCCAAAGATTGACATCCTGAGAACTGAAATTGTAAGTGACAGCAGCTTGAGGAGTAGGGGAATGTGTGGCTGAAGGAGGGAAAGAGGGATGTAGATGATAAAGACCATTATGCTGGTTTGCCGAACCAATCTGCTTCTGGGTCAGAAGGTCCTGGATGTCACAAACAGTAGAGTGAAAGTGTAAGGAGACTGGTAAGTCACTAGTAAGCTTACTGACAGAAATGAGGTTGAAAGTGAAGCTAGGGACAAGAAGCACATTGTGCAGAAGAAGGCCAGATGGGTGTTTGACAGTGCCAATGTGACTAATAGCTACTTTGGTGGTGTTAGGGAGGTAGACAAAGACATTGGACACAGCAGTAGAGGCAATGAAATGAGAAGAGGAACATGTGATATGGTCTGAAGCCCCAGTATCCAAAATCCACACACTGGTTAAGGAAAACTTATCCAACTCATAGTGAGAAGAAAGAACGTACTTACCAGCATGATTAGGGAATTGTGGTAAAAACTGAGAGACAGAGAATGCCTTGTTGTTGATGTGAGGAGAGCTAGGTGAAGTAGGGTCAGAATCCATACCAAACTGAAGGAAGTTCTTCAACTTGTTAATATCATCAACAGATAAACCCAAGTTGGACTGAGGCGAAGTAGAATTGGAGTTACTATCAGAGATTACACTGCCTTCAGAAGAATGACTTTCTTGAGACACAGCAGCCACCATACCAGCTTCCTTCCCCTTTTCTTTCCTTTGTAACTTCCAGCAATCCTTAATTACGTGACCAGGACATTTGCAATAGTTGCAAATGAGACGTTCACCATCAGTGTCTGATTTCCCACGAGGTCGAGTGGACTGATCAGAGTCTGATTTCCAGCGAGGACGATCTCTCCCATCAGCTAAGGCAACAGACTGCCCCCCTCGCTGACCAGAAGAATCACCCTTAAGCTTCTGCTCGTGTTGAAGCAGATCATCCAAAGCATCAGACACAAGAGGCAAAGGCTTCATTAAGAGCAATTGAGTTTTAACAACCTCAAAATCCTTGTTAACACCTCGGAGGAAGCGAATAAGATAGTCGGTTTCCTGTTTAGACTTAAAAGCAGCAACAGCAACACAAGTAACATTGCTGCCAGGGGCACAGGTGCAAGGAACAATGGGGGAAAACTGTTGATACTCTTCCCATAACCCATTGATTTTCGTATAATATTGAAGAATGGACAGATCCCCTTGTGTACAAGCAATAATTTCGTCCTCCAGATTGATGATGCGCAAAGAGTTAGGACGAGCAAAACGCTTACGAAGTTCTTCCCAAAGAACTCGAGCATTCTCATGACTCATCAAGCTACGAGCAATATCCTTTTGCAAAGAATTAAGAATCCAGCAGAGAACAAGGGTATTACAGCCATCCCACAAATAGAACATCGGATCTGTGGAAGCAGGAGCTAAAATCGACCCATCAACGAAACCCAATTTGTGTTTGGTTTTCAGGGCCATACGCATAGATCTACTCCACAAAGGGTAATTGGAACCATCGAAGACAACAGGAACGATGGACTGTGACAAATTCTCATTCGGATTGAGATAATAGGGGTTTCCAAAGGGGATCTCACCTCTGTTACCCTGCTCTGATGATGCATTGAAGGACCCAAACTGAAATCCAGCTCCAGGAGCAGATGCATTCCGATGAGGAGTGCCCGGAGAATTCTGCGACGTGGTGCCGGACATCGTTGCAAGAAACGTCGTTAGAGCCCAGGCTCTGATACCATGAAGAAAACTGTACAGAGCAAGCAGAAATGGATCGGAAACCCTCAGAAGATTGAGGCTTCCTCTTTGCTCATATATATATTAACGTTATACAGTACTTTAGCTGAGGTTTAAACTGAGCTTGCCATGTGTCTCAGCCTCATTTGTCTATTCATTACATTAACGTTAATTTAAACTATAAACAACTAAAGCATGATACGACATCGTGTAGGTGAAACGTTTCTCCCTCTTCTCCTTCGTTTTTCTTCTACGTTTCTTTTCTGCTGCTAGCCGTTAGCCTTTGTTTCCAGAAGAAGCAGATGCTTCAGCTTGGACCATCGTCTCTGTCAGCCGTCCGCCGAACTGGGAAGAGGTTATTCTATTCTGATTGCAGAGACCATTCAGCCTCTGGTAGCCCTCTCGACACATCCTGGTTCTCTCTTCCCTCATTTGAAGCTTATCTCCTGAGTTCGGTTTGTCCCAAAACTATAAGGAGTTCTGCGCCCGTCATCATTGCGTCACCTGTTGCATTTACCTGCCGTCGCAAGCCGACAACCTTCTTCCTTCTCTCGTCATCGCAATTATAGTCTCTAGATTCAGGCAGATTCTATCGAGGAAAAAGAAGGGCAACAGCTAGGAATTTGTTTGCATCCAATTTTGGGAGTGTTAATTTGGGATGAATTTGCATCATAGATTCCTTCTATTTTCTGATGGAATAATAATTATATTAAAGAAAGGATATTGTAGTTATTTTCCTCGTGTTTTAACGGTCACTTAATGGAGATAGTGACAGAAAGGCAGGTTGGTTATGTTTAGATAGTTGAGGGGTACATTTGTGCAAAAAACATAGTAGACGGGTATGATTGTTAACTTGCAATAGTAGAGGGATATAGAATGCTATTAACCCTATTTTTTATAAGGGATATAGTGATGGCAATGGGGCGGGGCGGGTCAGGTCGGGTAATACCCGCGGGGCGGGTTGAAATTGCCATCACTACCTCTACTATGACGTTTTATCAAACATGCCCCTCTACTATTTTTTACATCAAACATGCCCCTGTAATTTGGAAAAATTATCAAACATGCCCTTCAGTTGAAATTTCCATTGAAAAAATCGTCAATCATGGTTGAACAGAGATTTAGACGACCTAACATCGATAAATGAGAGAGGAAATGTCAGTTTTGACCCTTGTTTTATTTCTCTAGGTCTCGTCAAAGTGAAATTATTAGAATTATTTGGCTATACAAAAGAACAAAAAAACTTCAAAGTGAAATTATTAGGAATATATTAGATATTTGGAGAGCGGATCCAGTGACTAAGGGGGGGTGCTTAGTCACTTGACTAAGCCTCTCCCAGCCCTTAGATCTGGACACTTCAATCCAATGGTTAAAAAGTGGGAAGGGCTATTTAATTAATGACAGGGGTAGTTTGGGTATTATGGAAAATTACGAAGTATACAAACCGGATTTACAATCAGTACAAACCATACAAACATACGAACAGTACAAACTAGAGCGACAAAACATACAAACAGATTTACAAACATTACAAACGTATGAACTGTACAAACAATACAAACTAGACCGACAAACAATACAAACCATACAAAAAGAAAAAACAACCGGGTTGACTTTCGAGGCTCCATCCCTATATAGAGGGGCTCCTTCCCAAAGTCAACCCGGGTGTTTTTTAGACATACAAACAGTACGAACATGGTGGACAAAAATGACAAACAAGACCGACAATCCATGCTAACGGAAAAAAACACCCGGGTTGACTTTGGAGGCTCCATCGCTATATAGAGGGGCTCCTTCCCAAAGTCAACTCGGGTGTTTTTTTAGACATACAAACAATACGAACATGGTGGACAAAAATGACAAACATGGTGCACAAAAATAACAAAGTTTACGAACATTACAAAATAACAAAGTGTACAAACATTACAAAATATGTCAACAAACATCACAAAATTGGCACTGTCGCCGGAAAATTCTTCTCCGTCCACGATGGTCGCCGGGAAAAATTTTCCGACCAGAAACTCTCTCTCTCTCTCTCTCTCTCTCTGGAATAATGGCACAATGGCCGCACAGAAACTCTCCGGGGAAATTCCCCATGGAAATAATGGCGCCCCCAGGAATTCCCCTGGCCGCGCAATGAACGGAGACGGGGAGGCGACGCGACGGACGGACAGCCGGCGCTGTGTTTTTTTTTATTTCTTTTATAATTAAAAATTAAAAATAAACATACAATTACTACATTGCCCTTCATTAAATTGGATTAATATGAGCCCTTGGATTTTAATGAGGTGCAAGAGTGGAGATTCACTTAGCCATGTGACTAAGGGGACCCCCCTTAGTCACCAGATCTTAGCCCAGATATTTGGGTTGCCCAAACCAAAGTTCGGTCTTGGTTAACGGTTTTTGGATGAAAATTTTAACAAAATGACATGTTTGATAAGTTTTCCAAAATACAGAGGCATGTTTGATATAAAAAAATAGTAGAGTGATATGTTTGATAAAACATCATAAAAGGACATATTATACCTATAACCGTTTTTATAACTACAAGCGGCAAATAGCATAGGAAAACATCCGCCAGCAGCTGATTTTATAAACCCAAGTTCTTGTGCAGCACAGCAGACAGTTTCGAAAAACTTCGATGCTTTTGCCAAAGTTTGATGCTTTTAGATCCGCCATAGGTTTGAAGAACGAATTGGAATCCTGGAGAATTGGATTTTGCCCTTGACTTAGAATTTCAGCTCCGATGCGATCCAAACTCCCAGACGCGGCTTCGAGTCGGAAAATGGCTGCTTCGTCGGCGGTAGTGGCGATTCTGGCCTCAATTTGGCTCTGCAGTTCGATTGCCGCCGACGCATCTGGTTCTTCAAGTGAAACTACAATGCACACCAATAACTGGGCTGTCTTGGTCTGCACCTCTCGTTTCTGGTAATTTCTTCTCCGCAACTTCTTATGCTGCTTCCGCCCTCATTTCTTCCCATTCATTTAATCAAGTTCCTGAACTTCCCAGCCTCTTCTTTACCCTCTTCAATCTCAGTTTTAATCACAAATTCAACCTAGTATTGCATTTCGTTACTTCCCTTTTTGCTGCCAATCTCGGCCGAAGCTTCTCTCTGCTCCATTTTTGCCACTGCTTATGTACTAGTTCAAGGATGGAATTGATTGAATCGGTATTTCCCCTTTTCCAGGTTTAACTACAGGCATATGGCTAATACTTTGTCCTTGTATAGGTAAGCTTGGTTATTCCTTCTCTCGTAGCAATTGCTTGTATAGCTAAACTAATTTTTATCTATTTGCATTTCAATGGCTACTCAGGACAGTTAAGCGGCTTGGGATTCCAGATGAGAGGATAATACTGATGTTGGCAGATGACATGGCTTGCAATTCCAGGAACAAGTACCCTGCCCAAGTCTTCAACAATGAGAATCACTGGCTCAATTTGTATGGTGATAATGTTGAGGTTGGTGGGTTTTCAGTTGATTATGTGATAAACCTTTTACTTCCAGGGGTTCTGGATAATGAAAGATTTTGATTTTTTGCATGGAAGTTGTTAATTTACTGCAACTGCCATTAACCATTAAATGTTACAGATTGTTAAGCCCACTAAGGCTAAAGCTGTTGATCCAATATGATATCTCAGATTTGGAGCATGTACTTGAGAAATGCTCAAAAGATTTTGAAAATGTTGATCCTATTATAATGAACACTGGATCTTACCAAGTTCCAATTTTTCTCAGGTGGATTATAGAGGTTATGAAGTGACAGTGGAGAATTTTTTGCGGGTTCTCACTGGGCGGCATGAGTCTGCTGTTCCCAGGTCAAAGCGTCTCCTTAGTGATGAAGGGAGTCACATTCTTCTGTATATGACTGGTCATGGAGGAGATGAATTCTTAAAATTCCAGGACTCAGAAGAGCTTCAAAGTCATGATCTAGCTGATGCCGTGAAGCAGATGAAGGAGAAGCATAGGTAATAAAACATTGCTGTATTAGATGATTCAGTGCCATGTGATATTTCCAGTTTGCTCGGCCTCTATCATTAAATATGACTACAGATAATTGCTATTGTTGATAGGTTTCACTCTGTTCAAGTTTGACAGCATGGTTTGTTGTCAGTTTGAGACTACGTAGTTATTATTTGCATAATTCATTGATGTAGATTCAAGGAATTGCTGATAATGGTGGACACCTGCCAAGCTGCCACTCTTTTCAATCAGGTATTATTTATATGAATAAGGGAGATTTTGTTGCATCAAAAGAATTCAAGACACCAATGTGATCTATACCCATTACACAGAACATATACATCCATGCATGAGATCCCCACAGCCCAAACCCATCACCCAATGTTCTTTTCTTACAGCAGAAACAAACAACACAAATATAAACCCTATACAAATACCACCAACAAGCCGCTATCCACAGAGAGGGGAACCATTCTGCAGCAACAGGGGGGAACCAGAACCAGGAGATTCATAACAGCTAAGAGACCCTTTATCTCTGATACCAGAGCGGTTTTATCATGACAGCAGCAGCGATGTGAGGGGACCCTGCAATCTTTAACTCCAAAATCTGTCTGAGCCAATCAACAAAGCCTTCGAAATTAGGACTCTTCCCTCCATATACCCTTTCCACCTTTCTCCCCGGGTTTCACTCACCAGTAGAACCCAGACAAGTCAACCAAGTGAACACAGTTGTAGCAGTCCTACAGCGGCCTCCAGTCCTTCCTGCCAACCCTCCCCTGTCACATAGTCCCAATGTGAGGGAAATACCTTCTGGACAGTAGATATAGAAAAAGAGCACTGGAAATACAAATGTTTCTGTTGCGTGGAATGTTTCATTGCTAGTTTCTTCAACATATCCAGAATGTTAGTCTATTTTTTTGTTTTGCCTTTTCATTTTTTATGGCCACTCCTGTCAGACTTTGAAAGAGTAGAATATATGATTACTTTGGTGAAAGAAGCTACGGAGCTGTATTCCTTACCACAAACTGCTATTTGGACTAGATAATGCTCATAATTAGGACAGAACTACATCTCAATGTTTACGCTGAGAGTGGATATAGTTGTGACATCATGAAGAAACTAGTATTTTATGTGTTGGGCATCACTTATATCTGTTATTTAAGATGATGAATGCAAAAGGAAGTGTCATTTGTTGCTTGCAGCTCCATTCACCTGGTGTTCTGGCCATTGCAAGCAGCATGAAAGGGGAGAATTCATATTCGCATCATTTGGACTCTGATGTACGTATGTTCAGTGTGTATGTGTTTCTTCAGTAGTTTTCGATTTACGTTGTAAAGAACACAAGGTTAAGTTGTTATATGGATCTGTGCTTAGGTTTACCACTGTGCAATTTTTCTCATCACACTTAGTATTACTACAATTATAGGTTGGTGTTTCTGTTGTTGACCGGTTCACGTTCTACACCCTTGCTTTCTTTGAGAGGCTGAATATGTACGACAATGCTTCATTGAGCAGGTATATGCTTTTAGTAGTCATTCACCCCCCAATCTAACCAAGACTCCGTGTGGCACTGCTTGCTTGTGATCACAATCTCAAACTTGCGGATTCTTTCTTTGCAGGCTGTTTAACTCGTATGATCCAAACTTATTGATGTCAAACGCATATTACAGAACAGATCTTTACCAGCCAAATTTGCAGGAGGTATTGATATTTTGAATTTTGGTTGGGGCATATTAGCATACATTGGGGAGCGGAGAAGTGGGTCTCGCACCTATTTTTTTCATTTTCTCTAACACATTTCATGTTCAAATCCAATGAATCAACCAACCCTTGTGTTATTGTTAAATATTGATGCAGTATTGCTGCTAGACAGCAGATTTTTAAGTGGCAGGGTGAAACAGTCTTTTAACTTATTCGTGAAACGTTTCTTTCTGCCTATTGCAGGTTCCTGTGACGAACTTTTTCGGGTCTGTGATGGAAACAGTGCACACAGATTCGGCTTACAGGGCCTTTCCGCAAAAGAACACTCCCAGAGAAACTAGAATTCGCACAGGCAATACGGCTGAAGATGATAGCAGAAGAAGCATCTTGACAGATATGACCAAGGCAGAATGCCCTTTCACTCGAATTGTGAGTTCATTGGAATCCAAAATGGAAACGGTTGGCAATTTAGATTCCCTAGTGAATTACGGATTGGTGATGATACTACCTGTCCTCGTGGTATCTGTGTGGTTGTCAACCTGATTATAAGAAAATATGTGTGTTTGGGTCAAGAGTTGAGGTCGATAGAAGCGCTGGAGGCCCTCAAAAGCATGTAGATTATGTCATTTTTATGCCTCAATTTATATTTGTCAGCTAATTGTAGAGAATGGGGAACTGGTGGGTAAAATATTACAAGTGGTTCCAGCTCTTAACACTCACATTCCTTACTCCTCGATAGTGTTGTTATTCGACGATAAGATTCAACTGGCTTTTACGGATGGCCAAATGAGGTTTGTTTTATTTTTTATTTTATTTTATGTAAACCAATTTAGTCATATTTTAAATGATTTGAGGACTTCTAAATAGTTTTTTTCATTATTTGAAAGTCATATTTGTTGTGCTACTTGTTGATTGTGATTGTCGATGTCGGGATTGTAGCTGGCATCAGTTAGAATGTTTTATGTTGGGCATCAGGTTCAGTTGACGATTATCTTTCACCTCGAACTATTCTCGATAATGGTCAATTTTGGCAAGGACACTCTCTGATGCTCAAATTAGTGAGTGATTCTAGAGAAGAGCAATATGACCTCGAAAATAAACATAAGGAAATGGAGTTGAAAATGAATATTTTCGCTAATCATAGCAGGAGTTCGCGAGTCTAGGCATGAAGTTTTTTTTCTTATCTTCACAGGGAGTCAAGGTGGCCATTTATGACAATCGTCAGGGAATCATAAATGGGGTACGTATTCTTTTGGGAGCTTGGGGGTAAAGGAAAGACATAGTACGTAGCCAATTATGTTGGGTGCTATGGGGTGATAGACATTAGAGTGACCGAGGCGACCTGGGGTGATTGACCCCAGGGTGATCAGAGTAACACCAGGGTGGCCAAAGTAACTCAATGTGACTTGAGATGATTGACTTAGGGGGTGGCCAGGATAACCCTAGGGCTGCTTAAGGTGACGCATAATGTTGACCTTGGGGTTGGTCGTAGAGGTGGCAATTAGGATCCAAATCCATGAATCTAATCCAATTCATCCACCAAATTATCCACCTAATCCAATCCATTTAAATCCAATCCATTTGATCCAAATCCAATTGGATTGGTGGATTCATGGATCAATCCATGGATCCAAATGGCAAATTACGATTTGGTACCTATATTTTTTATATTTTACATTTTGGTACCTAAAATTTATATTTTTATACGAAAAATATCATTAGAAAATTACATTTTTGTACCTAAAATTTTTCATTATGACATTTTAGTACCAAAACTTTTCAAATTTTACATTTTGGTCCAAGCCTTGGATGTCATTTGGATTCATGGATCAATCCACCAATCCATTGGATCCAATCCATGAATCCACCAATCCATTGGATCCAATTCATTGGATCCAATCCATTGAATCCATGGATCCACCAATCCAATCCACGAATCCGATCCAATTGCCACCTCTAGTTGGTCGTGATGACCCCAATGGTGCACAAAGTGACCTGGGGTGATTAACCCTGAAGGTGGCGCCGGTGACTCGTGGTGACCCGAGGAGATTTTCCTCACGGGTGGCTGGAGTGACCCAAGGTGACTTGGGATAATTAACCCAGGGGTGGCCAGAGTGGCCCCTTAGAGTGACCAAGGTGACATAGAGTGATTGACCCCATGGATGGTCAGAGTAACCCAGAGTGCTTGACCCTATGGGTGACTGGAGTGCCCCCAACGAGGATGAATGGTGACCAGGGTGATGGACCCTTGGGTGGACTGGGATGTCGAAGGTGACCGGGGTGATTGAGCTCCGTGGTGACAGAATTGACACCTCAGGAAGGCAACAACCCTTGGGTTTATCGGAGAGGGTCATTGAGTAGGGTTTATTTGGGGACATTTTTGTAAAATTAACAAATTTTAATATATGGGGGTTCATCAATAACATTTCTGATAAGTAGTTCAAATGTATTTTTGTTGATAAGGTCATCCTAGTTTATTTTTATCGGGTATATTTTTTCATATTTTGGAAGATTTTTTTTCAATCTTTATTGTCGACATAAATAAGTTAAAATATATTTCTTAATAAGACTCAGTATTATTAACCTTTTTAAACGACCGAGGGGGTGGCCAAATTGCATGTATGAAGAAGATCTTTGAATCTCAAGTCCCATTCCTTCTTTGGAAATGCCATTTTCATTTTGTCCCACCTGAATCCATACCATGCCAAATAAAGTCATTACACATTTTCTGCACTTGTTTAAGCACTTTATTTGCGAGTAAAACAAATTCTCAAATCCTTACACATCCAAATCATTCTTCTTGAACTTTTTTTATTCACCAGCAAAGTAATTTTTGCATTTTGCTGGATTACATCAAACCGAATAGCTTATAGAATTCATCAAATAAATTTTGTTACCTTCATAATTGGAGTGTCAGACCCCTCTGCAAAAATAATTATATCATCTGCAAAACTCGAGTGAGTAAGCCTCATTCTTTTGAATTGAGGATGATATGAGATTACTCGATTAAGGGCTTATTAATTCAACATTGAGGAGAGTGCTTCCATAACAATTGTGATGATGTAGGTAGACAAAAAGGGCCCCTGCCTTGCTCCATTTTTTTGGAGCCAAGATCAGGTGACTAAAAGGGTCCCCTTAGTCACATGGCTAAGTGAATCTCAGCCACTCAACCTCATTAAAATTCAAGGGCTCTTATTAGTTCAATTTAATGAAGGGTAATGTAGTAATTCCATGTTTATTTTTAACTTTTAATTATAAAAGAAATAAATAAAAAATCTGCTTCGTCCCGTCACTTTGCGTCGCCTCCCCGCGCCACCTTTGGTGAATTTCCGTAGAAAGAATGGGCGCCATTATCCCATTCCCCCTGTCGCCATTATTCCATTCCAGAGAGTTCCCCCTGGCGCCATTATTCCAGAGAGAGAGAGAGAGAGAGAGAGAGAGAGAGAGAGAGAGAGAGAGATTTTCTGGTCGGAAATTTTTTTCCGTCGAACATCGTCTCCGGAGAAGAATTTCCTGGCGACAGTGCTAATTTTGTGATGTTTTTTGACATATTTTGTAATGTTTGTATGCTTTGTTATTTTGTAATGTTTGTCGGGTTTTTTTTTTAATGTTTGTAAACTTTGTTATTTTTGTGCACCATGTTTGTAAACTTTGTTATTTTTGTCAACCATGTTTGTAATGTTTTTTATGTCTAAAAAACAACCTGGTTGACTTTTGGATGGAGCCTCCAAAGTCAACCCGGGTGTTTTTTCCAGTTCGTATGGATTGTCGGTCTAGTTTGTCATTTTTGTCCACCATGTTCGTAATGTTTGTATGTCTAAAAAACACCCGGGTTGACTTTGGGAAGGAGCCCCTCTATATAGGGATGGAGCCTCCAAAGTCAACCCGAGTGTTTTTTCCCGTTCGTATGGATTGTCGGTCTAGTTTGTCATTTTTGTCCACTATGTTCGTACTGTTTGTATGTCTAAAAAACACCCGGGTTGACTTTGGGAAGGAGCCCCTCTATATAGGGATGGAGCCTCCAAAGTCAACCCGATTGTTTTTTCTTTTTGTATGGTTTGTATTGTTTGTCGGTCTAGTTTGTATTGTTTGTACAGTTCATACGTTTGTAATGTTTGTATGTTTTGTTGCTCTAATTTGTACTGTTCGTATGTTCGTATGGTTTGTACTGATTATAAATCCGGTTTGTATACTTCGTAATTTTTCATAATACCCAAACTACCCCTGTCATTAATTAAATAATCCTTCCCACTTTTTAACCATTGGATTGAAGTGTCTTCCTGGGAGGGTCTTAGTCAAGTGACTAAGCACCCCCTTAGTCACTGGATCCGCTCTCATTTTTTTGCTGATATGAACACATTAACAGTAAAAATCAAATTTTGCAATGCTAACGTCGTTCTTAATCCATTCAATAAACTTCACATGAAAACTCCTAATTTCCATATAGGAAAAATAAAGATTTCCAATTCAATAAATCGAATGCTTTCATGAGAGAAGATAGATTATGCCTATATAACAACAATTCAATAGTTCTTGTGCCATAAGAATATTGTCTACAATTATTCTTTCTTTTACAAAGGTTTATTGGTCCATACTTATCACACTGGGCAATAGGGATGGCAAAAATATCCGTAACCGTGGATATCTGCCCGAATCCAACCTTGTCGGGTAGAGTAAAACTCGAACCCGAATATTGAGGGTAATGGGTGGACATGGTTTTCTCACTATCCAATCCGAACTTGTCCGATATACACATGCATATGTAATTTGTCTAGAAATAATCATTATTTTTCTCTAATATATTTTATATTTAGCATATAAATATAATCTTCTTCATGAAATTGTGTTGTTTTAATGAATTTTCTTCATTCTAGTGAATTATTGTCATACTTTTTGTCTTGCGTAATGTGAGAATACATGTGAATATTAACATATTGGTTGAAGTTATAAAGAGAAACCATTAGTCCATTACCAATGGATAACTGTTGATACTCGAAATCCGAACGAGTATGGACATGGTTTTGATTTTCTACCTGTTTCTTATGTGGGTATGGGTATGGGTAAAACCCGAACTACTTTGGGTAGGATAACAGATATGCACTATCCGTCCCCGACCCAACCCATTGCCATCTAGGGCTGTCAATTCGGTTGCCGGTTAGCGGCTAACCGGTCGGTCTAACCGTTAACCGACGGATAGCGGCTAACCGGAAACCGAAAATAATAAGGCTCGGTCGGTTGGCGGAGGCTGTCTGTGGTTAGGCGGTTAGCCGGTTAGCCGATTAACCGACGCCGGTTAACCAGCTAACCGGCTCTAACCGACCGACAGTACGACCGCGTTTTGGCAAGCTGAAACGCAAAAACCCTAGCATCCTCAAGACCCTCTCCAATCGCCTCCATCAGACCATCTTTCATTCCATCTCCATCCTCCTCCCTCAGACCCACCTCAGTCCGCCATCGCCGCCGCTCCTCCAGTCCGCCATCGCCGCCGCGCCTCCAGTCCGCCATCGCCGCCGCGGAAGATCTGTGATTGAGAATCAATCTATTGATTGAGAAGAAGAAGACGAAGATGGCGGACGGCGCCGCCTCCTCCACCGCGGAAGATCTGGTCGCCCCACAAGCCGACCTAGATCCGAACGCGGACGACGACCTGAGCGACGACGAGATCGACGTGGATGAGCTGAAGCGCCGTATGTGGAGGGACGAGATGCGCCTGAAAAAGCTGCGGGAACAGAGCAAGGCCAAAGAAGGAGTCGATGTGGCCAAGCAGAGGCATTCTCGTTCGACGAGATGGAGACCGCGGAGAGGGTGGTCTCGTCCAGGGCCACCGCCGCCTCCCCTGCGCCAGCCGCCTCCTCCCTTGCTCGGCGCCGGCGTGTCTT